GTTTGTCGTTTAAAATAGTTCTGCTCAATGTCTAAAATTCTAACTGACTTCCAATCAAAATTATGCCCAGTCTCAAAACTATGTTTTGCTATTACCGATGTATCAATTTGATCATTCCTAACACAATTTATATGTTCACTAATACGAGTTTTCAATTGACGTTTGGTTTGTCCAACATAGGATGAATTGCATTGTTGACATAAAATGCAATAAACAACATTTCTTTGTTTATTTGAAGGTACTAAATCTTTATGTGTTTTAATAAATTTAGACAACTGGTTTAAATTTCTATAAGAGGGTTTAATTGTTTTATTATTAATTTTGATGTGATTGAAATTGATATTATAGTTATGAATGTAAGGAAGAACGAAATAGAATTTAGCAATCTTTTCCTGATCATATATTAAAGAATGTTTATTAAGCTTATTTAAAAACAATGTCCTCAATCTCTTATTAATAGTATTAAATATAAAATTTATAGGATAATTGTTATCTAATAAAATGTTGATTACAAAATTTAGATTTTTTTCATAAAATAGTGGATCTGAAAGTAAGATGGCCCTATCTACTAGAGAATAGATAGTGCCTATTTTATGACAGAGCGGGTTTGAAGAATAATAGTTTAAATAGCGTCCAGAATAAGTTGGTTTGTGAAACCAATCACAAATCACAACCTATTATTCTTTATTATGATTTTTGTGTCAAGGAAACTGAGAGAATCATTCTCTTGTAATTCATAAGTGAATTGTAATCTATGATGATATGAGTTGAAAGTATGAACAACAATATCTAATTGATCTTTGGGAATTGCAAGTACGATATCGTCAACGTATCTAAAATAAAACAGTATGTTGAATTTGAAAGTATTTAAAGCTTTAAGTCCAAGGTCTTGTAAAACTAAGTCAGAAATGATGGGTGATAAGGGCGAACCCATAGGTGTGCCGAAAGTCTGTTTATAAATATTGTCATTGAAAGTAAAATAAGTTGATGTCAAAATAAATCGTACTGCCAATATAAACTCATCTTTGCTGATCTTCGTGTGTAGTTTGATGTATTTCCATNTAGANGAAATGCTATCAATAGCAAGCTCTATCGGAACATTCGTAAACAAAGACACAACATCAAGAGAACAAAGTGTGTAACCCTCAGTTAACTCTATTCCACTAATTTGATTGTACAATTGAAAGCTGTTTTTTATGAAAAAAGTAGAGTTGGGAATACCCTTAAAGATAATCTTGTGCAAAAAAATAGCCAATTGATGTAATGGACTATTGATAGTAGAGACTATGATACGATAAGAACAACCATTTTTATGGATTTTAGGAATGCCATATGCTCTAGGAAGAAGAGAATCACTCGAGTTTAAGTAAAATTTAGTCTTTTGGTTAATAAAATCCTTATAATACCATCTGTTCAATATATCTTTAAGTTTTTTCTCAATATTATGTATAGGATTGCGTTCTACTTTCATATAAGTATCCCCATTAGACAACATATTATTAATCTTATTTATGTAATCAACCTTCTTTATTGCCACGGTAATATTACCTTTATCCGCTCTGGTAAATAAAATATCCGGATTATCTTTCATAAATCTATTAGTAGCTTTAGCTTTCATTAATAAACTTTTTTCTAAATATGTTAATGGTTTATTATGAAGTAAAAAACTATTTAAATGAAATGAAATGTTATTACGAATTTTGTTTTTTAGTACTGGATCAAATTTAGTAATATTATTTTCAGCGTCTTTAATCGTTTCAATCACTACTTTACTTTTAATTTGATTGACTGGGAGGCAAAATTTATCTCCTAATTGAACAAGCTGTACCACTGGTTTGGGTATTATTCTATCAGTTAAATTTATAAACCATTTGTTATTAATATCAAGTTGGAAATGTTTTTCCTTATGTTGAAACTCTTCAGGTTTAATGTTAACTTTATCGAAATTATGATCTAAACTCGACTGGTTCAAACTGAATTCACAATTTCTATGTAAATCATTAACATTACGACTGTAATTATCAACATTATTATTTTGCCTAAAATAAAAACTGATAGGGTTGACCTGTCTAATGTTTAGATTTTGATGAGAAGTCAGTTTTCTATTAAGAATAACAGATTTATGATTATGAAAAGTATGTAAAGAATTATGTTGTGTTTTAAAGAATTGTAGTAATATGTTGTGTGGAACAATATTATATAAATCTGTGATAACCTTGGAAAGTTTACTTCTTATTTGTTGGAGATTTCTATGACTATCATTAATTTCCAATTTTTAAATTTTTCTTTTTAACTTATCTATAGACCTAATTAATTTCTGATCATTCCTATGACAAAATTTAGGAAAAATATGTCTAATGTTGACTATATGCTTAGGAAATATGTTTAAATTGATGCAAGATCTAAGATAACTATTTTGTAATGAAACAGTTATAAACCGGTGTTGAAATTTGATCCAATCTTTCATCAAATATTTGGCAGTTTTACCAAAAGTTGTTTCAATGTCGTTGAAGAATCCATGCTTTGTTGATGTTCTAAGTTGAGTTGTCATATTATCTTGCTTCTTTCAGCCAGCGGTATATAAATAAAGTAAAGAAAAGAAGCTTGACCTCAGGCTCTTATTTAAAATTCAAGTGATGCAATAAACGGCAATAAAGAGCCAATGCAGGGTGTTGTGCT